GAGTTAGAATGTTCTTGGTTTCAGATACCTTTAAGGAATGTGACTCTCTGGGACACATTAACTTACAGGAAATATTCACTATATATTATTTAGCTATTTCTGAAATAGCTAGTATGTCTTGCTAGAATATAAAAGCATTAGGTTTCTTTAAATTAAAAACTGAACTCTAATAGTTAAAATAACTTGCCTTCACTATTGTAAAGGTTGTGTTTGAACAGTTGTAACAACAGACTGATGTACCCCAAAAAGAATTTTTAAAACTCAGATAATAATTTTAGTCAAAAAAACTATAGGATGTTCTTGTATAAACTCACTTGCAAAGCTCAAAATTTCTTTAATTTTGCTTTGCTAAAATCAACCCTAGGCTAATATTAGATGCAAAATAAACTTATGTGTATCAGTAATATACGTGAAACATTTTGATTTGCATTTCTCAAAGAACTCCCTTGAAATTAGGATTCTCATCTGAAAAAACAACAATAGTGATAAGCAACATAAAGCTTTTTTTTAGTTAGAAGGGACTAAATTTTTGTGACATTTAGTATCTTACTCTAGTTAATGGCTTACTCTGTGAGCAAGTTATTATATAAGACTTAATTCAAAAGAACCATATTAGTTATTTTCCATTTTAAAATACCTATATTTTGCAAGTTGAATCATTACCCAAACAAAATTTTTTAAAACACTGAAACTCTCTGAGAAAATACTGTCAGCCCCATTTCACAGATGGGAAAATGAGGCTTGGATAAACACATTCAAAGGAACTCAGTCATTGATTTCAATGGCCAAATTCTCAACTACTTCACTAAGGGATCTTAAACATGTTCTCAGATACAGGGAGAAGGTACAGTCAATAAGGGAAATAGGTGAGGAGGTGACTAAAGTGAACTGGAAAGCACATGACCACCTAAAGGTAACTGTAGCTATTCAGCTCTAGAATAGTGTGGGCAGGTTAGACATGTCAAACTTGAGAAATCAGAGAGGCTGGCTAATTAAGATATCTAGGCTGTGAAATCATCTGATTTTAAAATATTGGCTCACACTTGTATTTTAAAAACAACATATAGTAGAATTGATTAAAAAGAAAAAAATACCCTAGTGATACTGACTAGGAATTGGAGCAATTGGAACTCTCATGCACTACTGATGGGAATCCAAAAATATGATAGCCACTTTGGGCAATAGTTTGACATATTCTTACAAAGTTAAACATAAACTTACTACATAAAGGAGTCTCATTCCTAGTTATTTTCCCAAGTGAAATTAAAAACTATACTCACGAAAACCTGTAGCTGAATGTTTATAGTGACTCATTTGTAATGACCAAAAACTGAAGACAACCCAAAGGTATCTCAACTGCGAAATGGAACAGAATGCTATTCAGCAAAGAAAAGGAATGCCCCCCCCGATATACTTAACATGAATGGGTCTCAAAAGCATTATGATAAGTGAAAGAAGCCAGACTCAAAATGCTACATATTATATATTTCTTTTTGTGTGACATTCTGACAAAAGCAAAACCATAGAGACAGAAAACAGATCAGTAGTTGCCAGGAACTAGGGGTGGGCCAAAGAGTGGACTACAAAGAATCAGTACAAGCGAATTTGGAGGATGATGGAAATGTTCTATATCTTTATTGTAGTGGTGTTACGGTTCTGCATATGTTTATCTAAACTCTAAACTATACACTCAAAAGAGTAAGTTTAGCTATGCAAAGTATATCATAAACAATGAGGGAAATAGTTGAAAGATGAGAAAAAGCACCAATCTACTCTTTTATATGCACATAAAAAATATAAAATGTTTCATATAAAACAATGTTTTAATTCATTTATATGTGATATTTATATTATATTTTGTATTATAAAAGACAATCTTAAGTTAACATTACAACTTGACTTATTTAGGAAAAATGACTTAAGAATAACTCTAAGATCAAAACCTCACTCAGTGAAATAAAATCTAGCACACTCTAAAGCCGTATTTTTTGGAAAATTAGAGAATAAAAACTCCAAAGAAAGATACAACATGAAGTAATATTTGGACTGCTAAAATTATTTGAAGTATGCATTTAAATAGGTGCAAAAATAGATAATAGATACAAAAATGATTTTGCAAATTATAAAATACAAAGTTTAAATAGTGTGACAACAAGCATAAGTGTTAGGGTAAATCTGCTCTGTTTAAAAACTCACAGCCACTCAAAAGCCATGTGACTTTGGACAAGTTACCTAATCCCTCTGAGCTTTATTTTTTCTACTGTAAAATGGAAAAGCCTCAGAGTTTTTGTAAAGACAAATGAAAAAACACCTCCAAACCAGTTAGCACATATAAACTGCCAAATAAGTGACACATTTTACTAATTATGCAATAATGGAAATTTCAGGATTATCATATTTTGAATTGAACTCCAAATACTGAATCAGAACTAGAACTATTTAGAATAAAATCATCAATGCACAGCAAAGAAAACCATTAACAGAATAAAGAGACAACCTACAGAATGGGAAAAACATTTTTGCCAGCTACTCAGGCAAAGTACTAATATCTAAAATATATAAAGAACTTTAAAAAATGAGACCCCAGCTGGGGATTTAGCTCAGTGGTTCTGCTGCCTGACTTGTAAGTGTAAGGACCCAATTTCGATCCCCAGTAGCAAAAAAAAAAAAAAAAAAAAAATTAGACCCCCCTCAAATTTAAAGACCCAATTTAAAAACAAATAGACATTTCTCAGATGAAGAAACACAGCCAATATATACATGAAAAAATGTTCAACATCGCTGGCCATTTGAGAAATGAAAATTAAAACAATACTGAGATTTTATCTGACTCCAGAAACAATGGCCACCATCAACAAATCAACCAATAACAAATGCTGGCAAGACTGTGGGGAGAAAGGAATTCTTCTCAATTGTTAGTGGGACTATAAACTGATACAGCCACTACGGAAATCAGTATGGCAATTCCTCAAAAAAATAAAAATAGAAATTCCATTTGACCCAGTTATTCCCCTTTTAGGTATTTTCCCAATATCACAGTGATGTATGCATACCCAAGTCTACAGTAGTGCAATTCCTAATACTTAAATCTTGGAAACAGCCTATATGCCCATCAACAGATGAATGGATTAAAAATCCACTCATAAAATGGAGTACTACTCTACCATAAAAAAGACAAATTTAAGTCATTTGTAGGAAAATTAATGCAGCTTGAGACCATGATGTTAAGTGAAGTAACTCAGACACACAAGCTTAAATATTGCGTGTTTCTCTTATATGAAACACTCAATATGTATATAAAGTATGAAATAAAAGACAGATAATAGGAAAAAGAAAAAGAAAAAAAAAGATATTGTAATCCAGTATGGACAGTGTATCTAAGTGTACCTTGAATTAATACACTTGTCTTCCATATTTTATGTTTTTGGCCTATTAGTATGGTTTTCAATGTGTAAATATGATAATGAAATTTATAAGGTCATATATGACAAATAAATGAATCTGATGCTGGGAAAATAAAAGGGGAATGGCAAAAGAAGGGGGAAGAAGGGAACTGAAATGTGTTATGTACCTGTACCAATCCACTATACTGAATGCAATCATTATGTACTGCAAACATGTACTAATAAAAATTTAAAAAAATTATCAGAGGCTTCAAGAAGCTGCTTAGAGTGACAGAAGTTAGGCTAAGGGGGTGGCACACAGTGGTTGATATTGTTAGCATCTGTCCTTTCATTTTCACCTAACTGTTGGGCAGTACAGCCACGGTCTAGCCATGGCGGGTAGCAAAGAGCCTTGTTTGCTGTAGTTTTTGGCAGTGAGGGGCCTTGTTTGCTTCATTTTAAAAGCAGTTAAAAACCGGGCTTCTCTCTTCCTCTAAATACAGGACTCTCTTTTTGAGGGAATCTGAAAGCTTACTAACAACAAAATGATGTACATGAACCTCACCTTCTCCACAACCCAAACTAAATGTGGAAAACGACTATATGCAGCCTCACATGATCTGATTTTTAAAATAGAACTAGGCAACGACATCTTCTGGGTGTTTGTGGCTTTATGGTATCTCAATATATAAGTTCTCTAAATTTATTTGACCTGCTTCTTTTTAGAATCTGAAATTTTGCTTTCCACGTGTGAATTCAAGGATCTATCTTATTACTCACTGTGTAACGTTTACTGGGAAAATAAAGATGTGTTTTCTTATTCGATAGAAGTCCTTTTTGAATCAATTGACTTCAGTTCTGCTTCTGAAATGTAAATCTAATTACAAGTATTGGATGAGAACTGAGATGAAAGCCTGATGATTGCTCTGATTCACTAATATATCTAATGTGTGCACTGGTACATACACTTATAACAAGTGCTTACAGTCTACTGCTTGGTAATATCAATTTGGAAAGTTAGAAGGCTGTTGGAAAGTACTTAAGAACATACACATGGGCAGTTTCCTCACTGACTTTTCTTACCCTGGTTTTGGGAACTGACCTCAGGGTCTCTCCTGTGCTAGGCAAGTGCAGTACTACAAAACTACACCCCTAGCCCTTAACTGTAAATTTTGAGACAGGGTGTCCCTAAATTGCCCAGGCTTGCCTGGAACTTGTGATCCTCCTGCCTCAGCCTTCCAAGAAGCTAGGATTACAGGCGTCCCACAAAGCGCTCAGCTTTAAGTGATAATTCGAATTTGAAATTCTGTTTTGATTCCAAAGAGAACATAATGTCCCGTTTTGTTTTGTTTTAATTGTAGACATCGTTCTGAGTATGTCCTAATTATGTTGCTAGAAAGTATTGTGAGTCCATTCAAACTTCACCCACGAAAGCCACGGGTCCAGAACGCAGCAGCCACGGAGGGTTGGCCGCGCCTGGCGGAACGCGTCCCTAGACGGCTCCGAACCGGCGTCCGGGCGCAGCGCCCGCGTGTAAAGCGCCTTTGGGGTCCGGTCCCTCCTCACTCCGTTGCAAACGACACTCCCACAGGCGCACAGCCAGGAAAGAACCTTATGTCTGAATAACGAAACGAAAAAATGACGCCCGGTGTGTGTCGGGGGGGACCGCCGGCCTGGGTCTGCGTCCAGGGACCGGCTGTCGCGACTCCAGGGCGTTTGCTGGGGCGGGGGAGGCAAGCGGAGGAGCCTTGGAGGTCTCCGAGCGCCTCCCTAAACAGCTCACGGAGCACTAAAGAGAAGGGACGGCGCTGTAAGTAAGCAGGTCAGCAGGACGCGTTTACCTTGTGGTGGAATAAAAGGCTAGCGCTTCGATTGTGGCACACTTTTTCCTCACAGAAAGTTAAATGCCACGCTGAAGCAAACGGCAGCGTTCCCGCCTCAGCCGGGCGTCGCTGGAAGGGTCCTGGAATCAGACTGGGCCCTAGCGGCAGGACCACGGCGAGGAGAGGTGACTCTCAAGGCCTCGGCCTCGAGTTCACAGACAACCCGGCATACCGAGCCCATAGATGCCCCGGGGGCCTGTGGGGCCGTTCTCCGAGTCCCGCCTCAGGGTGAGCGGTGCACCGCGCGGGAGTCGGGGCAGAGGAAGCCTGGCCTGGCCCCGCCCCGCCGGACGGTTTGATTAATGACTCTACTTCTGCGGAGGGGGGTGGCTCTGCACCGCAGCCGCCCTCAGTTTAACCCCCGGACTGAGAACTGACCTGCGCCCGACGTGCCTTCGAGGGCCAGGACACTCACGCGTGGACACTCACGCGTGGACCCTGGGGCGCCCGCATAAAAGGCGAGACCCAGCCCGGGCAGGAAGCAGCCTTCGGTGACCCGCACGACCCTGGCCACGAAGACCCGGCTCGACGCCCCTTGCCCACGCGCACAGCGCAGCAGATCACCACCGCTGCTCTAAGAAAGGTGAGAATCCTGAACCCGACCCGCGCCGCGCGGCTCCCGGGTCGGAGAGGCAGCGGCTGTCGAGCTCCCAGGGAGGCCAAGGTCCCCAGGGCGGCCCGTTCCACCTCGCCTGGGGTCCGCGGGAATGTACGCTACTCTTTCCCCGCGGGCCTGGCGGGAAAACATTCCCAACCCCCAAACAGGTGCCGAGCCGGGGCTGTGCACCCGAGAGCTGCCTTCCGTGGCCGGGTGGCCCTTGCGCCTAATTTATTCGTGCAAACTCCACTGCGCCCCAGCTCATCCCGAGGAGCCCAGGAACTCTCAGGCCGGACCGCTACCCTCAGACCCCAGGAGGCAAAACACGCCCCAGGGGAAACGGACGCGGGTCCGTTGGGCGGCGCGAACGCCAGGGGTGGGCTGTGCCCCTCGGGTTCAGCCGGGCCGCGCCGGCCCTCACCGCGCCTTTGGTCCTTTGCAGCGTGCGCAGTTCTGGACGCCACCATGGACCGCGGCCGCGGGGCAAGCAGCCCGCCGAGCGCCAGCGCAGAGCCGGCGCTCCCGGCCTCCAGCATCCGCGACCCGAGCCCAGGGCGCACTGGGTCAGGGCCGGCGGGCCCCGCGGTCGGAGCGCGTTCCGGGAGCGGGCGGCCGGCTGCGGCGAACGCGGCGCGGGAGCGCAGCCGAGTGCAGACTCTGCGGCACGCCTTCCTGGAGTTGCAGCGCACCCTGCCATCTGTGCCGCCGGACACCAAGCTGTCCAAGCTGGATGTGCTGCTGCTGGCCACCACCTACATCGCGCATCTTACCCGCAGCCTGCAAGACGACTCCGAGGCGCCGGCAGACCCTAGTCTGGGCGCTTTGC